AAATTAGCCAGGCATGGTGGCGCATGCTTGTAGTCGCAGCTACTCGGGAGGCTGAGGCAGAAGGATCACTTGAGCCCAGCAGTTTGAGGTTGCTGTGAGCTAGACTGACACCACGGCACTCACTCTAGCCTGAGCAACAAAGCAAGACTCTGTCTCAAAAAATATATATATATATCGTCCTCGTAGGTCATCCTAAGTTGCCTTAACTATCACCATTAGAATATTTCCCTTATTCTAACAGCCTTCAGATGGGAAAGCATGACTTTCATAAGGTTCCCAGGTTTCCAAGAGTGCCTTCCTTTTTTTGTTTCCTTACATTCCAGTAAAGGTAATATCAAAATTTATGAAAATCTGGAATCAAAAAACATGCCACTCAGAGGAAAAGAATTTGGGGTCACAGTGGAAAGAGTTAGTGAGGACATAAGAAGAGACAATCAAAGACAAGAAGTTGAGGCAATCACTGTACTTACTAGTTATTGATACTTATTTATTTGAGACAGGGTCTAGGTCCATGGCCTAGGCTGAATTCCTGGGCTCAAGCGATCCTCCTGGCTCAGCCTCCAGAGTAGCAAGGACTATAGGCGGGGGCCATTATGCCTGGCTAATTTTTTAAAAATTTTTTTTGCAGAGATGGGGTCTCACTATGTACCCAGACTGTCTCAAACTCCTGGGTTCAAGCGATCCTCCCACCTTGCTCGGCCTCACAAAGTGCTGGGATTACAGGCATAAGCCGCCATGACTGGCCCAATATGTATCTTTACAGATAAAAGCTTTTTTTACATTACCACAATGTCATAAATATATCTAAGCAAATTAATAATTTCTTAATGTTATTTAATACCAGGTATATGTTCAAATTTCTCCCAACTATCTCAAAAGTCTTTTATAGTTACTTTGTTCATATTAGGATCCAAACCAAGTTCACCCAATGTATGACTGATATGCCTCCTCAAAGTTGATACATATCTCCTTGACTCAACTGGCTTTTACTTCTACTCCACTTTAAAAGCCCGCTTCCAAGGCTACGCACATTCACTAGACCACATCATATGGGAAATGTGCCATCTCTGAAACCATTCAACTGTCTGACCAGTCTTTAATCCTTCTACATCTTTCACCATATTTTACCTCATCAAGTCTTCCAGTGCTTCAGTTCATCATTTTCCTTTGTTGTATTTTTGCATATTTCTATAGTTACCCTTATACAAAATTTTGTTTGCTTTCTCTATTAGATCATAACTTTCTTTAGAACAGATAATGGCTTCTCAGTCCTGAATCTTTAACACCCAGCACAGGGCCTGACCTTTAATAAGTGCTCATAATAATGTCTGGTGAAGGAATGGATAAAGCTCTCTGGTTATTTTCACCACTATACCATGAGCTCTCAAAGGCAGAAACTATAGGTTACTTATATATTTCCTACAATTCATACTACAGTGCCTCATACATATTAGAGTCTCAGGGAGTATTTTTTTAATTATAAAAGGTTGACGTATATTAGGGTCCACATAAGTCATATAAAAGCATGTTCCTTGCTATTTCTGGTATTATTATTTTAAAAACAATTTGAATTAACTAAATGGCTATTAAGCAAATACAGAAAATATTCATCATGGCAGAGGCAAAATAATGTAAGAAAGAGCACTGTATAGAAGTCAGGAGGCCTGAGCTTCCATCTTGGCTTTGCCACTCACTATGTGATCCATAAATAACCATCTCTATATAAGCCTTAGTTTCCTCATTTATTAAAATGATGTTTGGGCCGGGCGCGGTGGCTCACGCCTGTAATCCTAGCACTCTGGAAGGCCGAGGCGGGTGGATTGCTCAAGGTCAGGAGTTCGAAACCAGCCTGTGCAAGAGCAAGACCCCATCTCTACTAAAAATAGAGACAAATTAATTGGCCAACTAATATATATAGAAAAAATCAGCCAGGCATGGTGGGGCATGCCTGTAGTCCCAGCTATTCAGGAGGCTGAGGCAGCAGGATTGCTTGAGCCCATGAGTTTGAGGTTGCTGTGAGCTAGGCTGACACCATGGCAGTCACTCTAGCCTGGGCAACAAAAAAAAAAAAAAAAAAAAAAAAAAACACAAAATGATGTTTGACCAGAATTAGATTCTAGAGATCATCAGCTCTAATATGCTATGCCTCTTAAAAAAACAACTCACAAAGCTATTATAAAAGCGATACATTCTAAATATAAAAAATTGTACATGCCCTTCTGAATTTTCAGTAAAAGAAAATTCCCACTCTGCATGCTATTTTCATAACTCACTTGCCAGAGGTATCCACTCTACACAGTTGCTTGTGTATTTTTAAGGCATTCTTCATGCATAACCTAATACAGTGCTAAGATTCTTGATTTTAACCAATGGATAATCCTATAAATTCAAATAGAGCCTTGCCAAAATGAAAGAAAAACTCCTTTGATAGCAGAAAGATAAGTATCTACTCAGAAAGCCAAGAGTAGAAAATATTAAAACACAGATAGAAACAAGTATTTAAAACTTCATGTGCCGCCCCTTGTTTGTGTGATAGAATATGAGTAAAAGGCAAATGACAAGAAAAGAAACTTCAGGTGGGAAGTTTCTCTCCAGGAGGAAATGTTGGAGGAACTGTGAGGAAAGGAGAATCATTCTAAAATCACATTACCATATAAAATCACAACCAAAGAAAGATGTAGAAAGGGCAAAAAAAGTTAAGAGTTGTAAATATTAAAATATTAAACATAATTTTGAAATATACTATGAACTTAAGGATAGAGTCAATTGTAGAAGAGGAAGTAGTTGTTTTTCCATACTAAAGCCAGCCTAAAAAGAAATGTCATTAGGTCCTTGACTTTCTTGACAGTTTCTTTTGAAAATCTACATCTAACTCTAACAAGGGTGTCCACATACTATGAAGCCAAAGGTAATATGTTTCTAACCAATTTCCTTTAATGGTGGGGAAAATATATAACATGATGACAGTTATTATAAGAATTTTTAAAAATATAGACAGAATAAGAGAAAAAGTAGGTCACTAGGAAAGCAGGAAGCTGGCTCCACAGAATAGGGGAAAGTGCTCTTTAATGGCTGTGCTATTAATTTCCCTTTCATCTAGGTACCAGAGAGTATTTAAACATTAAGGAATGTGTTATAAGAAAGCCAAACTTTAACTTCTGTACCCACATAAACAACATAGATTTTACCTAGACAATGTGCCTAGTTTTACCCCTACAGTGTAAAACTATACCACTCTAGACTGTAAAGAATGCTTAAAGGTAAAATAATAAGAGCAACCTGGGCAAGGATACTGTTCTGCAAGTGTAATACATTACTGAAATAAGTCCACATTTTAAAAGAGTAAAAATACAACTCTATAACATGTAAGTCACAAGTCTAACAACACTTAACTCTAACTTAACCTAATGACAATTACAATACGAAAAACATTAATAGGTATAGTTTTTTCCTGATATTTTTACAAACTAAATACAGCATAATAGATAAAAACTAAAACTATAATTAGAATTTGGAGGAAGAGGAAATTATAAGTTATTTTTTATTTCAAACTATAATTTTAACACAGTTTACGTAACAGTGTAAAATTTGTTAAGAAATTGAAAACACTTAAGTGTGGGAACCAATCTGTAATATCTACACAAAAGAACTTTTGATTACTCAAGGATGAGCGAATTCAAAGACTATAAACTTTACTAAATCTACCTTGTTTCTAGACATTAAAAACACAAACTGAATTAAGGAACTAAAATCATTCTGGTTTCCTGAACCCTTCAGGTTAGGAGGAACAATATTTCCTGACACCGGAAAATGATAAGCAAGTCTCGCTTTCACAAGTCAGTGACTGAGACTATGGTTTTCAAACTTAGGTAGAATATCATTTTAACAGTCTTTAAGATTCTTAAGGGAAATTTTTATTACTAAAAGATTACATTAGTTAGAACATAACATAAACTAAATATATAAAGCAATACAGAAATTTTCAAACTTTTTTATTTCAGAGTCCAAAAAATGTTATGACCTCCCCATTTTCTCTCTACTCTCTCTTCCAAGCCAACTGACACAAACTGCTTTAGGAAGCTAAAGATCTGCAGTGGTGACTATGGGCCAGGAGTGGCTTGTGTACTACATGCTGACTACAAACACTCAGTACTCAAGACTTTGCATCTCAAGATCAGAGTGAATAAATGATGTGGGAATTGAGCCCTAAAAACCTCTTTAGAACTCCTCCATTTGACAGAATGGCACGTTAGACCTGCCTGTCATCATCCTGAGTGAGCTTTGCTACTTGAGCCCACTGTCTCTATAAAAATATAAATTTCAAAGAATTCTGCAAAACACACATGAAGTCTTCAGTGGAAAGCTACTAAGATACAATCAATGACTACTTTTAACTGGCCTTAAAAGAAGACTGAAATAGCCAAAGCCAGTTAGAGAACACACAACCAACCAAATTTTAAAATGTAGGATTCTCTGTGCTGAAAAACCATTACATCCTTTGATATTCACCAGTAACCAAAAGACTCATTTCAATTCCAAGATGGCTCACTATTAAATTGGAACTAAATGATCAACACTCACGTGTACATATGGTAGTAAAATTCAATGGAAATCAAGCAGGTGGGAGAAGGGAGGAGGGGATGGATAAATTCACACCTAACAGGTACAATGCACACTATCTGGGTGATGGACACACTTATAACTTTGACTCAAACTGTTCATGTAACCAAAATGTTTGCACCCCTGTAATATTCTGAAATTTAAAAAATAAAGAAAGCAATTCTAAGGAGGCAAAAATAAGGAAGTCAACATACACTTTCCCACAATACCAAATGACTACTGCAAAAACCAACTATACTAACCATCATGCCAAAGGGTTCCCAAGCAGAGGTGCCTTGGTTCCTAATGATTATTGTAAAATGGGAAAACCATCTCCCAGTAGATGGTCATCCTGCATAAACCAGTAATGAAAGTATTCTATTGTCTGTGTGTCTACTTACCCTCGGTAACATCCTGGGGATTAGAAGTCCGGTCACTGGGTGGATCCAGTGCAACAGTTGCCAGTGAAGTGGTGGCCCCAGACATTTCACTCATGGGCTCACTACGGCTTGTTTCAGGCACACTTTCCCGAGAGCTAAATCTTACTCGAGAACTAGATCGAGAGCTGAGGTCCGGGCTGGTGTCTGACAAACCTGGAATGTCATCGATCTTTGTTGGTGTCACCATGAATCGAACTGAAGCCATCTTGGTGGTGGTTTCTGGAGGATGCATTTTTCTTTTTAAGGACAAAGAAAAAATGGGAAACCTCGCAAAATCTTCCTCCTACGCTAGCTACTTTTGTTGTAAAAATAAAAGATAACTTAAAAAAAAAAACAACCCTCAATTACCTTGATTCACACCACACAAAAAGCCCCAAATAAGAACTCTACTCAGAATTCAAGCCGGCTATCCTAAAAAGTGCACTAGCAATAGCTGACAAATATTTTTTAAGTGGGGGAAAAAACAAGACAAAACGATGCCGATCATGTGTAACTTCTTTCCTTCAGAACGGAGAGCTACCTAACTATCTCCCCTGGTCCAGGGTGGAGGGCTCAGTGCCATGGTCTCAGAACAGCTGGTAAAGCCTCCCTCCCTCAACCCCCAGGTTCCTGCTGAGGTAGTCAGTCCTTTATCTGGTGAGCGTCCCACGATTCTAGTTGAGCAAAGTGCGTGCAGCCCACCCTTATCAGGTGAATATAGCGTGGATCAGATTGCAAAAAGGTGTAAACCCGGCCACCTGTTGTGTATCAGGTGAATACCTCACAGGTCTGGCTGGGAGGAGGTGTGTGTAGAGCCACCCGATGTTTTTGAGGTCGATAATCCACTTGGGTCTGGTGGGAAAGGTGCGCATGCATAACGGGAAAAATAACCCACACTACTAGACGGAGGGGAATGAGGAGAGAAGGGCGAGCAGAGAAGGATGCAGAGGCAGAGCGGATTCCTGCCTCCGAGAGGTCTGCGGGGGTGGCCGCCTGCTTTTCTCCTGGCAGAAAGGTCCCTGGGATCTGGGAGAAGGAGGCTAGCAGATCAAGACACCTCAAACTGCAGGTCAGGGTCGTGGCAGGTCGTTGCTAGTCCACTGAGCCCCTGGTAGGTTCGCTAGGTTTCTCCTGCGTGGGACAGGACGGGCCACCCCTTTGCCGGGAGACGCTTCCTCCCCTACCCCGGCCCCGGCGCAGGTCAGCCCCTCGCCGTTCTTCCTTCGGATCTCAGCAGAAGAGGAGACGGCCACGCCGGCTGGCCCTGGCTGGGCAGGAGGAGCAGCGGGATGAAGGGAGGAGGAGGTCGCAGGTGCGGGATCCCGGCGCCAGCTGATGCGGTGCGCGCGCAGCTGTTGTTTACTAGCCGGTAACTGTTTCCGAGCCGCGGCGCGCGCAGGACTCGGGCTGCCGCGGCGGGCGCCCCCTGCCCGGCCAGACGCCAGAGCAGCCGTTACGTGACCTCGCCGCCCCCAGCCCCGGGCCCGGCGGGCTGTGCCCGCGCCGCCGCAGCCCCTCTTTTCCCTCCCCGCTCGTTCCTCATTCGAGGTTAACCTTCCGAAGAGAAGCCTGAAGGAGCAGTGGGAGGGCGGCACTGTCCCGCGGGCGCCCTAGAGCCCCGCCCAACCTCTGCAGCCCGCGGTGACAGAGCGCAGTGCGCCTGCGCTCGCCGGGAGCCACAGCGGGCGAGGGGCGGAGCCGAATTGAGGTGCCAGAGGCACGATGGGAACTGTAGTCCGGCGCCAGCCCGACCGACTTGAAGCGGTGAAAAATCCTTCTCCCTGTTGGCCAGGCTGTGTTGGGAGCTCACTCTGGAGGCCTCTTAGGAAGTGGGCCATGCCCTTTACCCTCTCTAACAGCTATGTCTCTAATAAGGGTCTCTGAAAACATCATTCATAATTTATTTAAAAATCACAGACGTCCCAACATCACATACCTAGTATGACCCGCACTGTGATTTCTATATAGAGGTCTATTCTAAAGCATAGTATCCGCAAATTATACACACTTTCTGGTATGTTTGTTTTTCTCCTGTTCCTGTCCTTTTAAAAGATGCTATACACATTTTCTAGTCAGAATAGAAAGTTCCATTAGAGAAAAAAGCTTTAATTTTATACCTGGAGAAGGCATTGAAATATTTTCTGGACTCCATTCCCAGTGTTTCCCTACTACATTTACTGTCCCTAGAATATCTGTGTTTAATACATAACCAGATGTTCACAACGTGGGCCCAGAAACTAGCCAGGCCCTGGCTTTGCCTGGGTATTTGCTCCTCACAAGTGCAAATGTTTAAGCAGTATCCTTAGCCATCAGAACAGTATTTAAGACCTGAGCCAGGAAATTCTCTTTTATCAAATGACACACAAAGTCCAAACACAAATAAAAAGATCCTGGTAACAAAATGAGAAATTCTCATTTAAAATATTAATCTTTCCGGAGTCTAGGACTGAGAAAAAAAAAAAAGTTAACCTCCTCAAGCTTCTTTATGAAGCTTTTGATTTTTTTTTTTTTTTTTTTTTTTGAGACAGAGTCTTGCTTGTCGCCCAGGCTATAGTGAGTGCCGTGACGTCAGCCTAGCTCACAGCAACCTCAAACTCCTGGGCTCAAGCAATCCTGCTTCAGCCTCCCAAGTAGCTGGGACTACAGGCATGTGCCACCATGCCCGGCTAATTATATATATATATTAGTTGGCCAATTAATTTCTTTCTATTTATAGTAGAGACGGGGTCTCGCTCTTGCTCAGGCTGGTTTCGAACTCCTGACCTCGAGCAATCTGCCCGCCTCGGCCTCCCAGAGAGCTAGGATTACAGGCGTGAGCCACCGCACCCGGCCAGCTTTTGATTCTTGATTGAGGTCCACAGCTTTCTTACTTTAGGAAGCAAGAAATCCTTCTCTCTGAGGGATCAATTTTTTCCTCAGATGGGTCTGCTGTTCATTTGAACCTCACAGACCTTCTTTTATAAAGAAATGCTGGATTCGTATGATACCCAAGTTTTGTTTCCTACCATGGTGTATCTGCAATTACTTATATATACTACATAATTCCAATACACTATACCTCTTAAGTCTTCTCGTCTCCAAACACTAATCAAGCTCTATAAACGTTATGTCACAGACCTTAATACCCAGGAGATCTCTTAACCACTTCAGTAGGAGCCTCGACTATAGTTGATAGCCACAGATGAAGGCGCACAGCAGTGTCGACTCCAGCCAACAGCCGTGATATGAAGGCACACAGCCAAGTGTAGACTTTAGCATTAATAACAAAACTTGACTTTTACAATTTTTCATCTATCAAAATAAAATTGTGAACATTTAAAAATAACATAATGAAAACATATGTATATGTTACCTATTCTGATTTACAAGTAAAGCTGCCTGTAAAGTAAAACAAGCTTTCAGTGCTTTAAAGCTTTCCTCATCACACAAGAGCAAAACGGGTCAGTCGTCAATGCACAGCACAAACTATCGTGGGACTATGAGTGCTGGCTGTGGGCAAGGTTTCCCCGCTGGTGAGCACCCTACCGAAGTGGTTAAGGCAAAGTCCTTGGTATACTTGTGCCAGTTTACCTTTTTTCCTTTATATTCATTAGGAGTATTTCCAGGTTAAAGTCTTTTCAGTCTATCCAGCTGGCAGCATGGAACAATGCTAATTCTTTTCTTTTCTTTTTTTGTAACATAAAGACAGAATTACAGTCAAGATTTAAAAAATGCAGCAGAATTCATTTACTTTGATGCTTAAGTAATTATGCTTAATTCATAATTGATGCTTAGTTCATTTGATCCTTAATTCATTTACTTTGATGCTTACTTTGATAATTCTCCAATCATTATCTCTTTATTTGGGTAAGATAATTCTTTAATATACTTCAGATCCAATGCTAAGAACCCTGTAAGTGAACAAGCTAAGAAATAAAATTACTAGATAGGAAGCATACCTCATTTCACCATTCCTATAAGTTTAAATAATTTATTTGAAAACCATCTGTCTTCTGTTAACTATGACCCAAGTTAAGGGTTTTTTTTTTTCTTCTCAGCAGTCAACCACTATCATGAACTTTTCTGCTGGAATGGACAAACAGCAGGATACAAGAAAAACCCACTACTTTCCAAGACCAGTCTTCATAAATCACATTTGTACTGATTTAAGTTACACCTGCATCTAGAGTCTAGAATTTTGATATAATAAAAAAATAAAGATTGTAGAATTAGAATACAACCTCTATAAAACAATTTTAAAATCAGCAGCACTGGGCAAACATTCAAATCCAAAGTCAGAAGCCATGAAATAGGAAATTAGGAAATAATGAGTTGATTAACTCGACAAGGAGAGGAAGAAGTTGGCACTTCTTGAATGCTTGTACACAATTTTTACTTCACTATCCCTCTGATACAAAGTAATTGTATTAAAAATCATTTATGGCTGTGCCATGGTATAAGCTCAAGTCCTAAGAAATTTCTAGTTTTGAAAAAATTAAGGCCTCCACAGTAGCTTGGAAAAACAACAAAAACAGCCAGGCGTGGTGGCTCATGCCTGTAATCCTAGTACTCTGGGAGGCCAAGGTGGGCACATGGCTTGAGGTCAGGAGTTCAAGACCAGCCTCGCAAGAGCAAGACCCCCATCTCTACTAAAAATAGAAAGAAATTAGCTGGACAACTAAAAATATATAGAAAATATTAGCCGGGCATGGTGGTACATGCCTGTAGTCCCAGCTACTTGGGAAGCTGAGGCAGAAAGATTGCTTGAGCCCAGGTTTGAGGTTGCTGTGAGCTAGGCTGATGCCATGGCACTCCAGACTGGGCAACAGAGGGAGGCTCTGTCTCAAAAAAAACAAAAACAAAAACAAAAAAACAAAAACCCCTGCTTGATTCTCTCATATTTCATCTTCTAAATTAAGATCTATGTAGAGTTCCACATGGCTAGCTGCCAAAGAGAATATAAAGAATATAAACTCAGGAGTATGTAAGAAGTCAATTCCTTGATGGAGAGAACTAAAAGTCTAGGAATATTTCTAGAGGGGTAGTAAATATGTATAAAGGCATTCCTGTTCAGAAAGGTTGGACAAACACAGTAGATATATTAAGATCCACCACTAAACTTATCAATTTTAGAGTTGGAATAGAACTTAGAAATTAGGAGGAAAAGGAGACTAAACAGAATAAGTAACTTTTTCCAAGTTATACAAAGAGGAAAGAAAACTGGTCTCCTGACTTCCAATTCACTGCCTTCCCTCTACAACATGGCTGCTACACATTACTTTTTCAGGCAATTCTTTCATTATGAATCAAATGTTAATTCCAGGGGCAAGAAATTACTTAAGTAACAACAGGAGTATGTTTCAGTGACTGCTGATAGTTGTAAAAGTCTTTCTTCCCCTTCCCCAACACCCTCCTATCACTAACAGCACATCACTACTCCAGCTACAGCAAGGACTGAAGTTTTTCTTTCAAGGGTCTTGTTCCAACTCCCTGGGGTACTCCCCCCTCCATCTTCCTCACCTTTTAAAAAAAAAATTACCAGTCCTTTCCTTCAACAACACACAAAATGAGAGCTCTTTCAAATCATTTTATCTTTAATAACCTGGCAGTAATTTAAAATGTGAAAAAAAAAATAGTCAAACTTGTTCCCTTTCTGGGGGATGCTACCATGACTGCCTCACACAAGCATGATCAAAGGCCATGATGAGACTGGATTCCAAAGAGCATGGCTGGTAAAATCACTTCATGGCTCACAGACTGAAGAGTTTGGTCAAGGAGTTTCCGAGGGGGATCAGGCGGCACAGGAAACATGAAATGTAAGGGACTCTCAGAGGACAGGGCGCGGCTGCTGGGTCATGAGCACCTTGAAGCGTTTCTTGATGGTGATTCGGTGTCGCGAGTATTTGTCGTCTGGGGAGAACCGAGCCGGGTGGGCTGAGCAGGTCTGTTGTCCCATAGGGTCAAATTTCTGCTCGAGAAAGAGAGAACATCATCTCAGTACAGGAGTGGTGAGGTGAGGAGGCGGCAGCGCGAAAAAGGGCAAACATAAAGACAGGAGACATAACGGTCAAATCGAGTCATGCACTCCCGGTCCTCCCCCGCCACGGTTCTGGACTTTCTGGTCCCACGCACCCAGCTAGGTAACTCGGTGGATGGTCTCAACCGCTCCTCCCACCTTCAGTTCTCGCCATGCCCGTGCACAAACCTGTTTCCTCTCCTCACCTTCAGCGTATAGACCCGCTCTCCCTGGTCATTGAGGTAATACTGGAGAAACATGACCACACTTCGGCCAGAGCTTCCAAATCCGGCTGCAGCTCCCTCTGCCTCACCGCCTCACGTGTTCGTCAATTTCCTTCCCCTACAACCGGAAGTCTGTCTCACGGCACGCCGGGAAATGTAGTCCACTTTTGC